GAATTTGACACACTGCACCTCACTGCACCAAACTGCACCACACTGCACCTCTCTGCGACTCACTGCGACACTCTGCACTAAACTGCACCTCATTGCGACACACTGCACCACACTGCGACACACTGCACCAAACTGCACCACACTGCAACACACTGCACCACACTGCGACACACTGCACCAAACTGCACCAAACTGCAACACACTGCTGCACCACACTGCGACACACTGCACCTCACTGCACCACACTGCACCTCTCTGCGACTCACTGCGACACTCTGCACCAAACTGCGACACACTGCACCTCATTGCGACACACTGCACCTCACTGCACCAAACTGCAACACACTGCACCACACTGCGACACACTGCACCTCACTGCAACACACTGCACCCCACTGCGACACACTGCACCTCACTGCACCAAACTGCAAAACACTGCACCTCACTGCGACACACTGCACCACACTGCGACACACTGCACCACACTGCGACACACTGCACCTCACTGCGACACACTGCACCTCACTGCGACACACTGCACCTCACTGCGACACACTGCACCTCACTGCACCTCATTGCGACACTCTGCACCACACTGCACCTCACTACGACACATTGCACCTCACTGCACCTCATTGCGACACTCTTCACCAAACTGCGACACACTGCACCTCACTGCACCTCACTGCGACACACTACGAGACATAATAATACATCAGATGGTACCCTGTGGGAGGATCTGTGTCTATTTATAGATACATTGTTTCATTACATATTTGCTCCCCCCTCATCTACATATCCTATTTTGAACCCAGCGACATCACACCACTGGGTCTCCACGCTTCTCTGTGCAGTGCAGGCAGATCACAGCTGGTGGGAGGGGCTGTGAAGTTTTCTGGAAACTATGTACAGCATTCTTCCGGCTCCTCCCACCAGCTGTGATCTGCCTGCATTGCATAGAAGAGCACAGAGACCCAGTGATGGTGCCTCGGTACTCCTCTGAAGAGCTCAAAAGTAGTGGGAGGAGTTATGCAAATTAAAAAATTGCCTTGGGTTGGGCGGATGTCGGTGTGGTGGAGGGGGCGTTCCCAGGCAGGATGTATTTGCATGCAGACTTCCCTCCTGTGAGGCTGAGCTTCTGTGAAAGGGGCGGGGGCCAAGAACAGCGAGGCTGGGGAGGAAAGTTCTAGATGACGCTGGGCGTCCTCCAGCCAGGAAATGAGGCGGGGCTCTACCTGTGCCAGAATTTTCCTCCTACGCCCTTTCAGTTTGGCCCTTTCACACGGGCGTTCCGTTTCTTCATCAGTTCAGTCACATTTTTTTCCAAAAAAAAACCCAATCAGTTCACAACAGTTTTTCTTCTGTTTTCATCCGTTTACATCCCTTTTGTCTGTTTACATCCCTTTTGTCTGTTTACATCCCTTTTGTCTGTTTTTGTCTGTTTACAACCATGTTTGTTTACAATCGTTTTTTGTCTGTTTACATTATTTTTTGTCCATTTTTGTCCGTTTACATTCATTTTTAGTCCGTTTACATCCTTTTTTTAGTTTTTGTCCATTTACATCCAGGTTTGTCTAATTACATCCGTTTGTTTCAATTTCTGTCCGTTTACATTTTTGTTTTTAGTCTGTTCACATCCACTTTTATCAGTTTACATCCGTGTTTAGTCCATTTACATCCACTTTTGTCCGTTTACATCAGTTTTGTCCATTTTTGTCCGTTTACATCCATGTTTGCCTATTTACATCCATTTTTGTCTGTTTACATCCACATTTATTGGTTTACATTCTTTTTTTGCCTGTTTACATTCATCTTTGTCCATTTTTGTGCATTTTCATCCATTTTTAGTTTGTTTACATCCGGTTCTTCCGTTTTTGTCCATTTACATCCCCGTTTGTCTAATTACATCTGTTTGTTTCAATTTCTGTCTGTTTACATCCATTTTTTGTCCGTTTACACTTGTTTTTAGTCCATTTGCATCCACTTTAATCAGTTTACATCCGTTTTAGTCCATTTACATCCACTTTTGTCTGTTTACACCTTTCTTTAGTCTTTTTACATCCACTTTTGTTCGTTTACATCAGTTTTGTGCATTTTTGTTTATTTACATCCACGTTTATCTGTTTACATTCGTTTTTTGTTTGTTTACATCCGTTTTTGTCAGTATACATCCATTTTTACTCTGTTTACATCCGTTTTTGTCCATTTACATCCATGTTTGTTTTTTTACATTCATTTTTTGTCTGTTCACATCCATTTTTAGTCCGTTTACATTCATTCTTGTCGATTTTGTTCATTTACATTCATTTTTGTCAGTTTACATCCAGTTTTAGCCCGTTTACAACCATTTTTATCCATTTTTATCCGTTTACATCAGTTTGTAGTCTGCTTACATCCATTTTTGACCATTTACATTCATTTTTGTCTGTTCATATTTGTTTTTAGTCCATTTACATCCATTTTTATCAGTTTTTGTCCGTTTACATCCTGTTTTTTGTCCGTTTACATCCGTTTTTTGTCCATTTACATCCATTTTTCATCCGTTCTATTTCATTTAAAGGAAGAAAAATAGTTTCCTTCCATTAAAAAAAAAACAGATGTTAACGGATGCGGACATTAAGGCCCCTTTTCACACGAGCTTTCAGTGTGTCCATTTTTCATCTGTCCGTTTACGGATTTAAAACTGACACCCCATGTATTTCTATGGACTTGTGGATGTAAACAGAAGATCATCTGTTTACATCCGTTAATGACCCCATCTACTATCCGTTAACATCCGTTTTTTATTCTGTTATAAAATTAATGGAACGGACAAAAAATAGATGTAAACGGACAAAAATGAATGTACAAGGATGAAAACGGGCAAAAACGGATTTAAACAGACAAAAAACAATGTAAATGGATAAAAATCGGATGTAAATGGACTAAAACAGGTGTATACGGATGAATAACGGACAAAAAAAAGCATGTAAATGGACAAAAATGGATGTACACGGACGAAAACCAATGTAAACAGATAAAAATGGACAAAAACAGATGTGAACAGACAAAAAATGAATGTATATGGATGCAAAACGGACAAAAACCGGATGCACATGGATGAAAAATGGACAAAAATGGATGTAAATGGACAAAAACAGATGGAAACGGATGAAAACGGATGTAAATGGACAAAAACTGATGGAAACGGACAAAAAATAATAATGTAAACAGACAAAAAAATGGATAAAAATTGATGTAACGGATTTAAAAAAACAGATGTATACTGATAAAAAATGGATGTAAATGGACAAAAAGGGACAAAAAATTATGTAAACGGTCGAAAAACAGATGTACTGTATATGGATGAAAACGGATGAAAAACAGATGTAAATGAACAAAAACGGATGTAAAACAGACAAAAACGGATGTATACGGTTGAAAAACGGATGTAAATGGACGAATATAAAACGGACAAAAAAAACGGATGAAAACAGATGTAAACTAATTAAAAAAACGGATGTATATGGATTAAAAATGGATAAAAAATGGATGTAATTGGACAAAAAGGGACAAAAATGGATGTAAATGGACGAAAAACAGATGTAAATGGACAAAAATTGATGTAAAGAGATGAAAAATGGATGTAAACGGATTAAAGTGGATGTACACAGATAACAATGGATGTAAATGGACAAAAACGGATGAAAAATGGATGTAAACAGACAAAAACGGATGTACATGGACGAAAAAAAAAAACGGACCAAAACGGATGTAAATGGACAAAAACGGATGTACACGGATGAAAACGGATGTAAATGGACAAAAACGGATGTAACCGGACAAAAAGGGACACAAAAAGGATGTAAACAGACAAAAAAAGATGAAAATGGATGTAAACGGATTACAAACGGATGTAAATGGACAAAAATGGATGTACATGGATGAAAAATGGACAAAAATGGATGTAAATGGACAAAAACGGATGTAAACAGACAAAAAAGAATGTAAACGAACAAAAAACAGATAAAAACTTATGTAAACGGATTTAAAAAACAGACGTAAATGGACAAAAAGGGACAAAAAAAAAGGATATAAACGGTCGAAAAACAGATGTATAAACGGATGAAAACGGGTGAAAAACAGATGTAAATGGGCAAAAAACGGATGTAAAAAATGGATGTGAACTGATTAAAATGGATGTACACAGGTGACAACGGATGTAAATGGACAAAAACTGATGTACATGGACAAAAAAAACGGACGAAAATGGATGTAAACGGACGAAAAAAACAGATGTATACGGATGAAAATGGATGAAAAACAGATGTAAATGGACAAAATCGGATGTAAACAGATGAAAAATGGATGTGAACGGAGTAAAACAGATGTACACAGACAACAATGGATGTAAATGGACAAAAACGGATGTACATGGACGAAAAATGGACCAAAACGGATGTAAACGGATCTGTATTTTCTTGGAAAAAATGTGACCGAACTGATGAAAAAAACAGAGTGCCCGTGTGAAAGGGACTCAAGGGATGTATACAGATGATCATCCGTTTACATCCGCTGGTCCATAGAAATACACGGGGGATCCGTTTTTCCTCCGTAAACGCACAGATAAAAAAACGGACCTATGGAACGCCCGGGTGAAAGAGGCCTTAAAGAGCCGGAGGAGTCACTGATGGACTGCGGGTGCCGCGGTGGCAGACGGGACTTCAAAGGGGGAGAAGAACCGCAATGACACAGGTCCTTCTCCCCTGCAGCTGCTTTCAGCTTTGAAGACCCCTGGGGGGGCAATTTGCACCATACAACATGGTAGAACGGGTAGAGTTATCCTTTAAATCAGAGAGATACATCCCGGGTGCATAGAAAGCAGCCACAGCCTGTCCCCGGCCAGAGAAGGACCTCAGCTCTCAGTAGGGAAGCAGTAATCTCTCCGCAGAGGTCCCCCCCCCATCAAACATCCCCCTCCCCCGGGATTACGTTGTCACCGCCTTTGTTTTATTTCTCAGATAAACCGATTTCACAAATGTAAGGATCGCGGATTGGTGATCACAGACCGCCACTTGTACAAACTGGAGCCCAGGAAGGCCTACAAAGTGCTGAAGAGCCTCCCGCTGAGTACGGTGAGTACCGGAGGAGAGTCACTGAGATCGAGGGGGGGGGGGGGGGGTTCCATGTTGCTTTGAATTTTTTTTTTTTTTTACTTTCTTTACATTTTTTTTTCTACTTTTGCAAAAAACAAATCAAGCAAAAGTATACAAGAGTATTTTTGTTTTTCTTTTTTTTATGCTTCTTTTTTTCTACTTTTTTTTTTTTTTTTTTTTAAAAAAGGGGGGGTACAAGTAAAAAAAAAAAGAAAATCAAGCAAGAGTATACAAGAATATATTTGTTTTTCTTTTTTTTTATGCTTCTTTTATTCTACTTTAAAAAAAAAGGGGGTACAAGTAAAAAAAAAAAGAAAATCAAGCAAGAGTATACAAGAATATATTTGTTTTTTCTTTTTTTTTATGCTTCTTTTTTTTCTACTTTTTTTTTTTAAAAAAGCAGGGATATGAGTAAAAAAAAAAGAAAATCAAACAAGAGTATACAAGAATATATTTGCTTTTCTTTTTTTATGCTTCTTTTTTTCCTACATTTAAAAAAAAAAAAGGGGGGGGTACAAGTAAGAAAAAAAAGGAAATCAAGCAAGAGTATACAAGAATATATTTGTTTTTCTTTTTTTTTATACTTCTTTTTTTTTTTTTTTAAAAAGGGGGGATAGGAGTAAAAAAAAAAAGAAAATCAAACAAGAGTATACAAGAATATATTTGTTTTTCTTTTTTTTTATGCTTCTTTTATTCTACTTTAAAAAAAAAAAAGGGGGTACAAGTACAAAAAAAAAAAAAAAAAGAAAATCAAGCAAGAGTATACAAGAATATATTTGTTTTTCTTTTTTTATGCTTCTTTTTTTCTACATTTAAACAAAAAAGGGGGGGGGGGTGGTACAAGTAAGAAAAAAAAAGGAAATCAAGCAAGAGTATACAAGAATATATTTGTTTTTTTCTTTTTTTTTATGCTTCTTTTTTTTCTACTTTTTTGTTTTTTTTTTTTTAAAAAAGGGGGGATACGAGTAAAAAAAAAAAGAAAATCAAACAAGAGTATACAAGAATATATTTGTTTTTCTTTTTTTTATGCTTCTTTTATTCTACTTTAAAAAAAAAGGGGGGTACAAGTAAAAAAAAAAAAAAAAAAAAAAAAAAAGAAAATCAAGCAAGAGTATACAAGAATATATTTGTTTTTTTTTTTTATGCTTCTTTTTTTTCTACATTTAAAAAAAAAAAAGGGGGGGGGGGGGTACAAGTAAAAAAAAAAAAAAAAAAGGAAATCAAGCAAGAGTATACAAGAATATATTTGTTTTTCTTTTTTTTTATTATTCTTTTTTTTTCTACATTTAAAAAAAAAAAAGGGGGGGGGGGGGGTACAAGTAAAAAAAAAAAAAGGAAATCAAGCAAGAGTATACAAGAATATATTTGTTTTTCTTTTTTTTTATGCTTTTTTTCTACTTTTTTTTTTTTTTAAAAAGTTGGGGATACGAGTAAAAAAAAAGAAAGAAAATCAAACAAGAGTATACAAGAATATATTTGTTTTTCTTTTTTTTATGCTTCTTTTATTCTACTTTAAAAAAAAAAAAGGGGGGTACAAGTAAAAATAAAAGAAAATCAAGCAAGAGTATACAAGAATATATTTGTTTTTTTTTTTTTTTATGCTTTTTTTTTTCTACATTTAAAAAAAAAAAAGGGGGGGGTACAAGTAAAAAAAAAAAAAGGAAATCAAGCAAGAGTATACAAGAATATATTTGTTTTTCTTTTTTTTTATGCTTCTTTTTTTCTACTTTTTTTTTTTTTAAAAAAAGGGGGGGGGGGGATACGAGTAAAAAAAAAAAGAAAATCAAACAAGAGTATACAAGAATATATTTGTTTTTCTTTTTTTTATGCTTCTTTTATTCTACTTTAAAAAAAAAAGGGGGGGGTACAAGTAAAAAAAAAAAAGAAAATCAAGCAAGAGTATACAAGAATATATTTGTGTTTTTTTTTTTTATGCTTCTTTTTTTTCTACATTTAAAGAAAAAAAAAAGGGGGGGGGGTACAAGTAAAAAAAAAAAAAGGAAATCAAGCAAGAGCATACAAGAATATATTTGTTTTTCTTTTTTTTATGCTTCTTTTTTTTCTACTTTTTTTTTTTTTTTTAAAAAAAGGGGGGGGATAAAAAAAAGGAGTAAAAAAAAAAAAAAAATCAAACAAGCAAGAGTATATAAGAATATATTTGTTTTTCTTTTTTTATGCTTCTTTTCTTTCTACATTTAAAAAAAAAAAGGGGGTACAAAGAAAAAAAAAAAAAAGGAAATCAAGCAAGATACGAGTATACAAGAATATATTTGTTTTTCTTTTTTACCTTTTTTTTTTTTTTTTTTTTTTTACAAGTATGCTTACAAGAATATATTTGTTTTTTTTTATGCTTCTTTTTTTTCTCTTTTTTTTTAAAAAAAAAGGGGGTACAAGTAAAAAAAAAAAAAGAAAATCAAGCAAGAGTATATAAGAATATATTTGTTTTTCTTTTTTTATGCTTCTTTTCTTTCTACATTTAAAAAAAAAAAGGGGGTACAAGTAAAAAAAAAAGGAAATCAAGAAAGAGTATACAAGAATATATTTTTTCTTCTTTTTTTATGCTTCTTTTATTCTACTTTAAAAAAAAGGGGGTACAAGTAGAAAAAAAAAAAAAAAAGAAAATCAAGCAAGAGCATACAAGAATATATTTGGTTTTTTTTTTTTTTAATGCTTCTTTTTTTTCTACTTATTTTTTTTAAAAAGGGGGGGGGGTACAAGTAAGAAAAAAAAGGAAATCAAGCAAGAGTATACAAGAATATATTTGTTTTTCTTTTTTTTTATGCATTTTTTTCTACTTTTTTTTTTTTAAAAAGGGGGGATACAAGTCAAAAAAAAAAAAAAGAAAATCAAACAAGAGTATATAAGAATAGATTTGGTTTTGTTTTTTTTTTTATGCTTTTTTTTCTACTTTTTTTTTTAAAAAAGGGGGGGCATACAAGTAAGAAAAAAAAAAAAGAAATCAAGCAAGAGTATACAAGAATATATTTGTTTTTTCTTTTTTTTATGCTTCTTTTTTACTTTTTTTTTTTTTTTTAAAAAGGGGGGGGGGTACAAGTAAAAAAAAAAAAAAAAGAAAATCAAACAAGAGTATACAAGAATATATTTGTTTTCTTAGCTTCTTTTTTTTTTTTTTGTGTATTGTATTGTTGTCCAGTGCATATCCACAGAAGAATGAACAAAAAAAATAACAAAAAAAATAATAATTAACGTGGCAGTTGACAAGAATGCATTTTTCTTGTTTCGTTTTGTTTTTGTTTGTTTTTTTATTGTCTGGTTTCTTATTTTTTTTTTGTGTATTGTATTGTTGTTCAGTGTATTATTTTCCACAGAAGAATGAACAAAAAAATTAACAAAAAAAAAAAATTTAAGTGGCAGTTGACAAAAATGCATTTTTCTTTTTTCGTTTTTTGTTTTTGTTTATTTTTTTATTGTCTAGTTGTTTTCTTTTTTTTTTGTATTGTATTGTTGTTCAATGTACTACTTTCCACAGAAGAAAATAAATTAACCAAAAAAAAATTAACATGGCAGTTGACAAGAATGCATTTTTCTTGTTTAATTTTGCTTTTTTTTTTATTGTCTAGTTGTTTGATGTTTTTTTCTTTTAAAAGAAAGAAAAAATGAAAAAAGTAAAATAAAAAAAATTAAAAGTGACAGTGCTGACTCTTTACATTTTTTCAAAAATTATTTTAAATAAATATCTAGTGTCCATACGGAAGGCTAGGCAGGCAGCAGGCAAGGATAGTCAGAGTCCAGGCAGGGGTTTAGGCAGGCAGCAGGCAAGGATATTTAGCATCCAGGCAGCAGGCGAGGATAGTCAGTGTCCAGGCAGAGGTCGATGGAGGCAGCAGGCAAGGAGAACCAATGTCCAGGCAGAGGTTAAGGCAGGCAGCAGGCAAGGAGAACCAATGTCCAGGCAGAGGTCGATGGAGGCAGCAGGCAAGGAGAACCAATGTCCAGGCAGAGGTTAAGGCAGGCAGCAGGCAAGGAGAACCAATGTCCAGGCAGAGGTTAAAGGCAGGCAGCAGGCAAGGAGAACCAATGTCCAGGCAGAGTTAGAGACAGACAGCAGACAATGATAATCAAGGTCAAGTCAAAGGTCTAGGCAGGCTACAGGGACGAAAAATCAGGGACTAGGCAAAGATTGAGTTAGGCAAGGATAGTCAGTGTCCAGGCAAAGGTCAAGGCAGGCAGCAGGCAAAGGTATTCAGTGTCCAGGCAGATTTGGAGGCAGGCAACAGGCAAGGATATTTAGTGTCCAGGCAGTGGTTGAGGCAGGCAGCAGGCAAGGAGAACCAATTTCCAGGCAGAGGTTAAGGCAGGCAGCAGGCAGGGATATATAGTGTTCAGAAAGAGGGTCTAGGCAGGCATCAGACAAAGGTAAGTCAATGTCCAGACATAGGTCAAGGCAGGCAGCAGAGTAGTCAGGGATGAGCAAAGTCGACAACAGGGACAGGAGACCCAGAATCAAGGACAGTAAACAGGAAAGACAGAGATCGCGTGCCTACAGGACCACCAAACCTTAGCCAGAAAAGCCACGATCTGGTGCGCAGCATGCTGCATGTGGACAGGCAGAGGTTAAGGCAGGCAGCAGGTAAGGAGAATCAATGTCCAGGCAGAGGTTAAGACAGGCAGCAGGCAAGGAGAACCAATGTCCAGGCAGACTTAGAGACAGACAGCAGACAAAGATAATCAAGGTCAAGTCAAAGGTCTAGGCAGGCTACAGGGATGAAAAATCAGGGTCTAGGCAAAGATTGAGGTAGGCAAGGATAGTCAGTGTCCAGGCAGAGGTCAAGGCAGGCAGCAGGCAAAGGTATTCAGTGTCCAGGCAGATTTGGAGGCAGGCAACGGGCAAGGACATTTAGTGTGCAGGCAGTGGTTGAGGCAGGCACCAGGCAAGGAGAACCAATGTCCAGGCAGAGGTTAAGGCAGGCAGCAGGTAAGGAGAACCAATGTCCAGGCAGAGGTTAAGGCAGGCAGCA